TACACCAATAGTGAACTCTCCATAGGGGAGAGATTAGAAAAACAATCCCATTTACCATCGCACCAAAAAAATTAAGCTACCTAGGAATAAACTTAACTAAAGAGGTAAAAGACCTCTACTCAGAAAACTACAGGACGTTGAAAAAAGAGATAGAGGAAGACATAAACAGATGGAAGAACATACCGTGTTCATGGATTGGTAGAATCAACATCATTAAAATGTCCATACTACCCAAAGCAATCTATACATTCAACGCACTTCCCATTAAAATACCAACGGCATACTTCACAGATCTAGAACGAACTCTCCAAAAATTCATCTGGAATAAAAAAAGACTCCGAATAGCTGCAGCGATCCTGAGAAAGAACAAAGTAGGTGGGATCTCAATGCCAGATATCAAGCTGTATTACAAAGCCACTGTTCTCAAAACTGCCTGGTACTGGCACAAGAACAGACATATAGATCAATGGAATAGAATAGAGAACCCAGAAATCAGCCCGAACCAATATGCTCAATTAATACTTGACAAAGGAGGAAAGAACATTCCATGGAGCCAAGATAGTCTCTTCAATAAGTGGTGTTGGGAAAATTGGACAGATATATGCAAGAAAATGAAACTAGACCACCAACTTACACCATACACAAAAATAAACTCAAAATGGATAAAGGACTTAAATGTACGACAGGAAACCATAACAATTCTAGAAGAATTCAAAGGCAACAAAATCTCAGACATATGCCGAAGCAATTTCTTCACTGATACATCTCCTAGGGCACTTGAAACTAAAGAGAAAATGAACAAATGGGACTACATCAAAATAAAAAGCTTCTGCACAGCAAAAGAAACCATCAACAAAACAACGAGAAAACCCACTGCGTGGGAAAACATATTTGCCAATGTCATATCTGATAAGGGCCTAATCTCCAAAATTTATAGGGAACTCATACAACTTAACAAAAGGAAGATAAACAATCCAATCAAAAAATGGGCAAAGGACCTAAATAGACACCTTTCAAAAGAGGACATTCAGAAAGCCAAGAGACATATGAAAACATGCTCAAAGTCACTAATCATCCGAGAGATGCAAATCAAAACAACAATGAGGTACCATCTCACACCTGTCAGAATGGCTATCATCAACAAATCAACAAACGACAAGTGCTGGAGAGGATGTGGAGAAAAAGGAACACTCGTGCACTGCTGGTGGGAATGCAGACTGGTGCAGCCACTATGGAAGACAGTATGGAGTTTCCTCAAAAAACAAAATATGGAACTCCCATTCGACCGTGTGATCCCACTTCTAGGAATATATCCCAAGAAACCAGAAACACCAATCAGAAAGGATATATGCACCCATATATTCATAGCAGCACAATTCACCATAGCTAAGATCTGGAAACAGCCTAAGTGCCCATCAGTAGATGAATGGATTAGAAAACGGTGGTACATCTACACGATGGAATACTATGCTGCTGTAAAAAAGAAGGAACTCTCACCATTTGCAACGGCATGGATGGAACTGGAGAGCATTATGCTAAGTGAAATAAGCCAGGCAATGAAGGAAAAATACCACATGATCTCACACATTCATGGATAATAGAGACCATTATAAACTTTTGAACAATAATAGATACAGAGGCAGAGCTGCCTCAAACAGATTGTCAAACTGCAGCGGGAAGGCTGGGGAGGGTTGGGGGGCAGGAGGGAAAGGGGTAAGAGATCAACCGAAGGACTTGTATGCATGCATATAAGCATAACCAATGGACATAAGACACTGGGGGGTAGGGGAGGCCAGGGGATTGTCAAGGGCGGGGAAAAAAGGACACATATGTAATACCCTTTGTAATACTTTAAGCATTAAAAAAAAAATCAGATAATAAAATTCTTCCATAATTATAAAAAATAATGGTAGATTTAAAAAATTACCTTGTTTGCTTATAAAGCTGATGAATTCCTGAATTTCAATTAAAGTTTGTACAGATTGCAATTTGGTAAGTCTACTTCTGTGTAAAAGCACATCAATACTAGAATAGTTCTAGAAAAAAAGGCATTTAACATTGTTTACAAATCAATTTAAGACTTTAAACTTTAATACAGTTCTATAAAATGTAAAATACAGCAACTACCATACAAATACATCACACAGTGTGTCTCACTGTGGTTAATAATGAGGTCATACAAGAAATTAACAGATAATATAATTTTTGAAAATAATTTAGGTTGAAAACCCCTTTTGGTTCATTGAAATCAATAAAAACAATACAAATGACCTATCATTGCCTCTACTTGCCAACACTTTTTAAAAATCACAACCTATCCTGGCCAGTGATGCTCACTGGTTAGAGTGTTGGCCCACACACCAAAGGGTCAAGGATTCGATTCCCAGTCAAGGGCAGGTACCTGGGCTGTAAGATCGATCCACGGCCCTGGTCCGGGCATGTATGAGAGGCAGTCAATTGATGTGTCTCTCACATTAATGTTTCTCTCTCCCCCTTCCCTTCCTCCCTTCCACTCTCTAGAGATCAATGGAGAAAATATCCTCAGGTGAGGATTAACAACAAAAAATCACAACATCCACCCAGGCAGCATGGCTCAGCGGTTGAGCATGGACCTATGAACCAGGAGGTCACAGTTCGATTCCCAGTCAGGGTATGCCTGGGTTGCAGGCTCAATCCCCAGTAGGGGTCGTTCAGGAGGCAACCAATTGATGATTGTCTTTCATTGATGTTTCTATCACTCTCTCCCTCTTCCTTCCTCTTTGAAATCAATAAAAATATATTTTTAAAAATCACAAAATCCTCTAATGTAAATAGCTAAGTATAGAAGCCAATTCTTACTTCAATAAACTTTCTTGAGTGTATTAATCAACTTTTAAAGTTTAAAAATAAAAGACAATTGCTCTGGCCGGTATGGCTCAGATGGTTGGGTGTCATGCCACGCACTGAAAGGGTGCGGGCTCGATCCCCAGTAGTAGGTGTGCAGGAGGCAGCCAATTGATGTTTCACTTTCATCAATGCTTCTCTCTCTCTCCCTCTCCCTTCCTCACTCGAAAAAATCAATTAAAAATATTTTTTAAAACTCAGGAACAAATATATGACTTTGCTTCTAATGATCATTGTGTGCCAATGATAAATGTTGTTAATAGACTCTATACAAGACACTGACTTTAAAAATAAACAAACATCAGAGGAAGATTCTCCAACAAGCAAAAAGGAAAAATGGCAGAAAATACACAGGGAAGATTCATATTCTTTCCCACCCAGCAACCAAACTTCTATTCACCTACTCCAAATGTAAAAGTCGACTCTCAAGTGTTTCTTTTTTTTAGCAGTGTGAGAAAAGTAAAAACTTAAGGTAAAACAAAAATTAGAACTTCTATAACAGGGAAAAACTTTTTAAAGGCATTAAGACAAAAAACAGAGTAAAGAGAGCTATCAGAAGAAAATAGTAGAAAATGGGTGGTATTAAATAGTAAATAAAAATGTTTTATTATTTTTTTATTCACTAGTTTACTAACTTTAAAAATATCACAGCCCTAGCCTATTTTGCTCAGTGGTGAGAGCATCAGCCCTGGGACTGAAGAGTCCTGGGTTCAATTCCCGTCAAGGCATGTACCTTGTTGCAGGCTCCATCTCCACCTGAACTAGGGCATGTGTGGGAGGCAACCAATCAATGTGTCTCTTTCATATCGATGTTGCTCTCTGTCTCTCCCCCTCCCTTCCACTCTCAAAAAATCAGTGGAGAAGCAGCAGCCCTGTAAGTTGCTTGGTGGAAAAAAAAAATCAGTGGAAAGAATATCCTCAGGTGAGAATTAACAAAAATAAATAACTAAATCACAGAAATAGCACATTTCAGATTGGTGTATCTATATTACCTGTATAAAAATTTGAATGCATTTTTCAATATAATACTTGGCTCTGTCAATATCATTTTGTAAGATATACAGAAGACTCAATTCCTGACTATAATTGAGCTCTATAATGGACTTTTGGAGCTCCTTATTTACAGCCTCATCGATGAACGTCAGCAGGGACTGGTCATTCTCTCCTTGAAGCAGTAACTTCAGCTTGCTGCGGATCATGTAAGGTAGATAGGTCTCCTACGGAACATCAGAAAGACAATGTGAGGATGCCTAATCATTTTATTACTATAATATAATTTAGTATAATTTTTATTTCAAGATTTAGAGACAAAGTGATTATGCTCGATACTTCAAACCTGAAAACTATAATTTTTAAGACATGCTCAAGTAAACTTGCTCATTATGTAACCACAAAATATGTAGGAACATGTCCTGTAGAAAGTAGGAACTGCGCACTGTTAGCTGAAATACAGCTGATGTCACATACACAGTGGGGAATCTTTAAGCACAGCCAGGACAGCAGCCTTGTGAGAGGGGCCAGGAGAGCAGCCTTGTTCAAGAGTTGGGGTGACCCTGTGAGGGGAGCCATCTTGCTCTGGGAATTGGGGCATGCCCATATGTCGCCTGTGACCCAGTGCAAAGAGAACAGAAAATATTCTTCCATGTCATCATACCAGGGATGTTATGTTAATATTTATTTTTATTATTAGTTTTTAATATATTTTTTATTGATTTCAGAGAGGAAGGGAGAGGGAGAGAGAGATACAAACATCAATGATGAGAGTTAATCATTGATTGGCTGCCTCCTGCACGCCCCCTACTGGGGATCAAGCCCGCAACCGGGGCATGTGCTCTTTCTTGTTGGGACTCTTTAGTCCACAGGCCTGCGCTCTATCCACTGAGCAAACCAGCTAAGGCAATATTTATTTTTAAACACATGCCACTTATTTTAAAGGAGTTAGCTAAAAGTGGTAAGAGATTTAACAATACTATGGAGTTTATCGGGGGGGAGTCAGGATATATAACTATCCTAATGCTTCACAACTACTACTGTATTTTTTTAAAGTTTTAAGCAACTTAACTACTTAGAGAACACCTGACCATCTCAATTATTTATTTCAGCAACTTCTAAAATGATTCTACCCACCTGATAAAATGGGTCACTCCACATTTTATTTAGATCTGGAGGGTTCTCACTGTCGACACTGACTATAGAACAATATGCCAAGGATTTCCACTCAGCAAGTTGGTTATAACAATCAAGGGATGCAAGTTCCCAAAAATCCTTCTCGGCTTCTGTAGGCTCACCATCCACCCACTCTTGTTTATTGAGAGCCTGGCAAAGAAAAGTTCCTAAGATTATGTTACAATGTTCAAAGAATACAAATGAAATAATGTAGGTAGTATAACATCCATTTTCAGGTTTATGATAAAGGGAAAGAAACGGAAAATAAAGTAACACTGAATGGGAGAATAAAACAAACAAAAGGAATGTTATAGTAACAAATTAATATAAAAACCCTAACCAAGAGAAAAGCCATTTTTCTGAGAAACTTACCAATGAAGGCAATTAATAAAATGAAGACTTTAAGTGACCCATAACTAGATTTAAGTCAATACTGTGGGTTATTTACTAGTTATAAAGTTCTTAGAATGAAAATTATAATAGGACATTTACAGAAAATTGCAGAGAATTTTACAACCTGAATTAATCATTCAAGAGTCACACAGGTCACAGACCCTGAATTTCAAATATTTGCTGGACATCTACACTTAGGATAGCCATTGGCAACTCAAAACAGAAAATATATAAAATAGAATTAAAGTCATTTTCCCAAAACCAATCTCACTTACCTATTCATACATTTTTTTTTCTTGCCAAAGAAGAGGAATCTATTACATAGAAATGAAATATTCTAGCAGATATTGAAATAACTTACAGTTTTATAGTATTTGGTAATTTATGAAATGCTTTATCTGTTATTCAATGATATTTTCTTAAAAAGAGTAAGAGAAACAGCAATATTTTGGTTATTATAAAACCATTCTCTGGAATTTGTGTAAAAATCTAAGGCATAAAGCTGAAACATTATGAAGCTCTCAAATTTAAAACTAACAGTTTTTCCATCCAGAGAACAAAAGTGTTTAACCTACTGACATTTGCTGGAGATCGATTTTACCTCGTTATACTGCTTAGCAGCTGCAGAATAGTCACTCCTGGCTTCTTCTAATAGTGCATTCTGCGTGACTGGCTTTGTTCCGATCTCACTGCTAAAAATGCCACGGAGGACATCATACTCTCCAATTGATCTGTACAACCTATAAGGCAAACCAAAGGGGGAAACGTCCACATTAATGAATGCCCCAATATTTTAAAGTATTTATCATAATAAAATGACATTATACCAAGATGTCACATATTATATTAACTAAAATCTTACTTGGGTTTTATAAAATCTTTAAAATTTTGAAGTTACCATTAAATTTTGAAGTTACCATTAAATTTTGAAGTTACTACTTTGATCATAGAGAAGACAGAAATTATTCTAAGGTGCATTTGAAGTAAAATATGAAAATGTAGGTTAACAATATGTTAATTATGTCATTCAATAAACTTCTTCCATGTTAATGGTACCATTACAGTACCATTGCACATATCTGTGGGTGACCTATTTAGAATCCTTGTCTTGCTCTAAAATTTGGAAAGTAGTCAAGAACCCAGAAGTGAGTAAAAATTAATCCAGGTTTTACTTGTGCCATGCTTTAATTTGAGTTCTATGGACAATCTCAATGTTATCTCAAAGTAATTTCTTACAGACTTAATATTTGCTTGAGCATTCTTTATCTTTGCAACACATTAGCACAAATCTGCTTGATCCCACCAACTATGCTTCCCCTTTTAAGATATTCTCAGGCAGTGGTTCTCAACCTTGGCTGCACATTAGAATCACCTGGGAATCTTTTTAAAATCCTGATTTCTGGGCCTCATCCTCCGGAAATTCTGTTTCTTTGTTACCATGTATTCTCGCGGAGAATGCCTTCAAACTGTCCACATGTATTTCTGGAGGATGAGGCCCAGAAATCAGTTTTTTGAAATGAGTCTCAGGTTATTGTAATGTGCCGCCCAGGGTTGAGTACCCACTGTTCTAAGGTAAATGTTTAGTAAGCTTGTTCCCTCCCCCCTGTAATGTTTTCCCCATCTTTTAAGTCTCAACACAAATGTCACTCTTCCTGAATCTGCAGTCACCTGACCAGCCAGGCAAGAATGGCTTCCTCCTTGGTTTTCCTCCAGTTTAGTCCCTTCACAAGTATGAAATCTCTCTCATGTATGTACATCAAAAGAGCCCATGAGCTCTCTCTCTCAGAGCTACTGTTACAAATTTAGATTAAAACTTTACACACATGGCTCTCTTATTTCCACATCCAAAGATGGTTAAAGGTACAAAAAAAGTAAAGGTAAACTTTAAACGTTAATAGCTCATGGCCCAAGAGCCCAAAAGGAGATGAAGCTACAAACATTTTTCAGGAACTCAGAAAAGAGACTATCCTACACTGGCCCCAAGATCCCTGGATGATGTATACTACAACATGCGCAAAACCATGACTGTGACATATCAAGAAAAGGCAAATTATATTCTCAAAAGTGTTCGAAAGACATGCAAAAATATTACATATAACAGTATGAGAAAGTATTAAATAAAATTACAAAAAGTGTTTAAAAGCGCTTCATTTACCCAGTATATGCACATTAGATGAGTTCTCACTCCCTGAAAATACTAAATGCACAGTGTTAATTATTGTTCCTATACAGGGTGAGGCAAAATTAGGTTTACAGTTTGTATGGAAAATAATACAATAATCCTATATAATAAAAGCCTAATATGCAAATCAAATGAACAGCAGAATGACCTGTCAGTGGGGGGCGGGGCCGGTGAGCTGGCGGCACCAGGCCAGCCAAGGTGGGTGCCAAAAGGCAGAGGGAGGGGACAGCGACCAGCAATGGCAGGGCAGCGCCATCCTCCAATCGATGCGCTGGTCGCCTCCTGCAGAGGGAGGACACTGGTGGCAGCGGTGGGGCGATGGGGGGGCGGGGCTGTCCCCTAATCTGCCTGCTGGTCGCCTCCCACTTCCGGGACCAGGCCTAAGCCGTCAGTTGGACATCCCCTGAGGGCTCCCAGACTGTGAGAGGATGCAGGCTGGGCTGAGGGACCCCTCCCTGAGTGCACAAATTTTCATGCACCGGGCCTCTAGTTAATAATAATAATACAAGAATAAACTGTGATTCACATACTCAGAACAGTGAACCTACTTTTGCCCCACCCTATACATCTGAAAGAAGATAAAAAAAAAGCCCAGGTGCACTCTTTGAACTGACCCAGGATGTGGATGGATCTTGCCACTTAAAAAACTCATCACCTCCTACTTCATATTATGGTTAGTCATGTATATAAGTACATATGGCTAGTTTTGTGAGCCTGTGAGAAATGTCTAATTCGTATTTTAATTCTTCTCAGCACCTGAGAATGCCTTACTCACTCAGAGTCCCAATTAAGAAAGAAAGATAAAAATGACTATAAAATAGTGAAAAGGTAAGGAATCCGCACCCTTACTTTTACTTTCTTTTACCCTAGAACTTGAAAATCTAAAAATCAGTGCTATAAAATAGAAGTTCAAATTAAAATTCAACCTAAACCAAGAGATGTCTCAGAATCACTGGCTCTCTTATGATGAAACCACAACTAATGAAAGAAACAGACATAACACAAAACAGAATAACTACACAACAAAATTCCCCCCCACAAATAAACAAAATTGGACTTAATTGTTCCTAAAAAATGTGAATCCTGCTGAAAATAATAAATCACCCTCTATTCAGTATAGCAAAGCAGCAAACACATTCAAAATACTAGGAACTGTAAGTTACAACCACACTTACAGGAAACAAAACTTAGTGCATAAATATCCCGAGTCCAAAAAGATTGTATAGTGAAAGAAATTATCAGGTTTAATGAATCTCTTTCCCTGGGCAAGATATTCCTTGTCATCTCATGGAATGGTACTCTACCTGAAAGGTTTTTCAAAAATGTTTATAACAGTGTTACTATCAACTTTACTTGTTCATTTTCTGCCAAAATGAAATTCTCTCAACAGCATCTGGATCACAGAGCTTACTTAGCAAGTTCCATCCAGCGGAGGACATCAGGGGGAAGGCGGGGCCTCCCCCGAACCCGCTTGGGAGGTGGCTCTTGAGGTGCCAAGTGGAGCAAGGCCTCCTCGAGCAGGCGGATGCCCACAGGCTGCTGAAGGCTGGCCAGGCAGCCAGCACCGACAGAAGCTGGGTCCAGGCTCAGCAAGTCTGTGTGTTGACAACTGATTTCCTGTGAAACCACAAACATATAGAGCTGTTTAGCTTGTGGTATGTTGACCAGACCTTCACAAGTGAATAATTCATTCTAGCAGACATTAAGAAAAGTTTTGATGCAAGTAGTGATATAAGTAAAAGTTTCTCTGTATAATTCTATTAAATTTTCCTCAACATTCAGTTTGCTCAGAGAAAATGACCTTTTATTTTTACATTAATTTTTTAATTTAAAGCGGAAAATAACACCCACTAGAAAAATTGGAGATATGTATATACTATAGTATATTCCATAGAGACAAATAACAATTGCAGTTGCCAGGAATATTTAGCCTGAATTGATGAGAAAAGCAGCTAAGTCCTGGCCAGGTGGCTCAGTTGATTGGAGTATCATACTGTACACCAAAAGGCTGTGGGTTTGATTCCCTGTCGGCCCATACCTAAGTCTGGAGTTCCATCCCCAGTCAGCGCCTATGGGAGGCAACCATTCGATGTTTCTCTCACCTCGATGTCTTTCTCTCTCTCTCTCTCTCAATTTCTCTAAGAATCAATAAAAACCAAACAAACATATCCTCAGGTGAGGCTTAAAATTTTTTTTAAAAGCAGCTCAAACACAGATTTCATATCTGATCACCAAAAAGTAGGTACACTCTGCTCCAATATTCTTTTTAAAACCTTCCCCCCCCATCTTTTTCACACATGAATTATTATATTGACCTTTACTTTGTAACTCTCAATTTGAGAGTCCTATATACACCAAAATCATGAGAAATAAATCCCAAATCAATACAGAGAATATGAACAGTTCCTCCCCATCCACACCAGCCTCTTCCCAACTCCCTCATGGCTGTGCCAGGCCTGGACCACTTGCTAAGTCTGATGGAGTTTCCACCAAGCCAACGTAAGCTCTATGTTAGGGGTCTTGGAATACAGATTCAAACAAGCAATGAATAGCATAAATGTAGGGCACCAAATTAATGTCTGTTTGCCGGTCACTGACTACGGCATGGGAAAATGGCCAAATCGATTTTTCTTTCGGTTTGAAGGATGTTGTTAAGCTACATCACAGATAAACTCATTGTGGGAAGTTCTGGTGAGGCAGTAGCACTTCAAAGAGACAGTCATCCTGCTAGAAAAGAACGCTATGCCAAACGTACTATGTACTATGATTCCATGGAGAGAAAAAACAAATCATAGTTTTGGATATGAACCACAAAGAAAAGGTCATAACAGCAAATGCTGCAAACCGCAGGCACTGGCTTCCATTTGTGCTGCTTCTTTCATGGTCAGTGTCAAGTAGTAAGCGCGAGGGTGAGTGGAAGTTATTTATTTATGTAATGGCAGTTAATGACTCTCCTAAATAACAATGAAAAAAACTAGTTTTTTAGACAAATATAGAAACAAAACTAAAAATTCAGATTTTAAAAATCACTTCAGAATATAATGTGAAGAGAAAGTTACTTTGAAATACTGACTGATTCAATACAATTACTCAAACTTTATCTTTAATGTGGCCAGGAGAAAAACAATAAAGAAATTCTACTTGGAAATTATAAACCAACAAAATTAGAACTAATATATTAAAAAACTATATTAACAGTTTTATGCTACATCAAAAAGAACAAAACAGAAAAACCAAGTACTTCATCTCAGGGAATTATTACCCAATTAGTTTGCAAACCAAAGCTACTAATAAATAATATTAAAGAATATAATTTTTAAATTATTCTAGGGAGGTTACTGAAAATACTAAAACAAACCAAAAAGATTTTCTATAACAGACTGATTAATGACCCATGTTTTGAGTGGCAAAGAAAACATTTCTTACATAAAAAGTAGTCTTCCAATAAGTACGTTTTAGTAATAACTGCAAGTGCGTCTACATTAAGTTCTCTGCTCAAACCGCCTTAGGCCTTTTCTGACGCTCCATCTAAGAAGTACCTATAGTAGCACACACACCCCACCCTGATCAAAGGCTCTTACTCACCTGCCTCGTTCCTACCCTGCATTACTTTAGTTAACGTGTATACTACTCAGGTTCTATGATACCTTCTGCTACCTCATGTTATCTTCTGTATTTGCCTGTTTATTATCTGTCACCCATCTAGAATGTTCTTGGAGAGAATTTTGTATCTCGTCATCCCTGTGTCCCCACCATTTAGAACAAAGTCAATCAACATCTCCTGAAGGTAGTCAGGACGCAGGAAAAATTTAGTGAAATGCTACCTAAAAAAAAAATACATCAACACTGTGCAGTGGGCAACTAAAACCTGAAGGGCATGGCTCGTTACAAACCAAAGCACTTTTATACCAAGTTTAATTTTGGATTTTCCTGTCACATATATTGTTTCTAAGTACAAATAAGTTACATCTACCCATCTGTAAGAGGTAACCAAACCAGAGTCCATTTCCTGTTAAATGTCTTGTGTTTGAACCTGAGAAACAAATGAAGTTTTGTTTTTCTAATTTATATTTTTATTGTTGACACTATTGCAGATCCCCCCACTCCTCCCCCAGCAAAAGAAGTCTTATGGCATAGTCATGCAAAGGCAAAGTAGATAATGCATCTTATGAAGTGTGTGTAGACTTTTACCTGGATACAGGAGACAAAAGGTGGAAAGAAAGAGTAAGTGGTGGCGAGAAATTGATTGAAGTCCTGGAGCAACTTTTGAGTAATGTTGTTTTTCTCAGACACGGTCTTGTATTTATCCATCTCCTTAATAATTGCAGAAAACAAGCTGCCAAAAAGTTGCTTTGCCATTATTGGGTCTCTCTGTAAAATATTCAAAAGGAAAAGAAATTAGGAACTGAAGTAAAAATTCTTTAATTTACCAACTATCAAAGCTTTATTTGAAAATACAAACTGTTGCAAACATATCTACTAAAGATCTCATTTCTATTTAGAAACTTTTAACAGACATTGACAAGGGGAGAATTTGGAGTTTAACCAAAGATACCTGTTTGACATGTGCCTTATGAAAGCATGACAGCACAGATTTTGGACCCAGAGATATGAATTTAAAAGCTGGAAACACATATCTTAACTCCTGTGTGAGTCTGGGCCTTCAGATTCCTCATAATTAAAATGGGGATAACAGGACACATCTCATAGGGTTTTGGTAAGATTAGCCAAGATAATGTATGTCAAGTGCTCAGTGCGGTAACTGATAAAATCTTGGAGAAAATTAAACTTTCAGGTATTATCTTCACATGAACATCATTGTAAAGCTTAAAATAACTAACCAATGAGCTAAAATAAAATGCCAATTTTAATTTTCAAGGTACCATCAAACCATTAAAACCATTAGTAGCTGTTTATGTGTCATACAAGTTTGGGCTATTTATCTCTAATGGCTTTAACCCTCATACTCCATGACCACGGGAACATTATCCTTTATTTGTGTCTATAACACAATACTCAGAATAACTTCTGGCATGCTGTGTCTATATTTTTTAAATGAAGGCATGAGTGTATGAATAAATAAAAATTTTAAATTATTTTGTTTGATAAAAGCTGTGTCTGAAGAAAAAGTACAATTTGACTTATACTTTGCTTATTAATTTAAGTAATGTATTTATCTTATAAAAAGTAATAATAGTTGCTATGTAAGATTTTAGGAAATATGGATTAGGAAAAAAGAAAATAAACATCACCCATATTATACTACATCTAGTTACTGTCAGGGTTGCTCTCATCCTGACACGTACACTGTTGTTTGATAATCTGCTTTTTTCATTTAACATGTAGAGTCAGCTTCCCATATCTACAAGGCACTGGTTCTTGTGTACAAATTCCTTTATTTTCCAAGGAGTCCCACATGCTCATTCTGTTACAGTAACTACAACAGTAATTAAGACAATAATGTCTCCAGAGCAACAGGATGCTGCTGCTGGGCATGGACGGCTGGCTGACATGCTCCTTGTTAGCTCTGTCCACACGTGAGGCCCCTAAGGCAGAACGGCAGGGCCAGGACAGCCACGGAGGCCTCTGTTACCCACCACTGCATCCAGTGCTTAGAACAGGCCTGGCACACAGGCGGTGTCACTCCGTATATTAACATTTGTTGAATAAAGTAATGGAATTTGAAGAATTAACAAAAGTATAAGTAAATAAATTCCTCCCTAAAAAATAAAAAAAAATAGTCCTGCTTTTTCAAAACAATATTTACCATCTTTATTTTTTCCAAGCACAAATGAGATGAACTTATTTGGACATGGGTGTCTCAACAGTTCCAGGCTTGCTAACCTACTACCATCATTACATATCACGTACCTCTCCAGTGTGGAGAGAAGCAAATCATGCCTAGGAGAGCAGGAGTCAACATTATTTTTGAGGCAGTGCTGTGAGCACATGTATGCGAGGCGCTAGAAAAACTGGGAACTAGTGGCAACGTAGAAAAAGCACTGGGCCACTCATCAAACAGGGAGAGCATTGTCCTGACGCCCAACCAGGGAGGCAGACAGCTTTAACCATACCACCCATTCTTTGCTAACCTTCAAGTCTTCATCTGTCAATGTATCTAGTCATTGCTTCAAGGGCACAAAATTACTGTGAGAAGCTAATGAGAGAAATGTGAAAGCACTCCCTAATAACCAAGAGCTACTGCGAGGGTAACTACCTGGATCTATACATGGGATAAAAATGCACAGAATTTCACACACACACACACACACACACACACACACACACACACCAATGAAGAGGAAAATGATGAAAATGAACAAAGTCTGAAGTCTAGTTGATACTACTGTAACAATGTCAATTTATAGGTCTTAATAATGTACACATTATATAAGGAACACTATTGAAGGTAGCTAGATGAAAGGTACACAGGACTATGTACTAGTTTTACAAATTCCTGTCAAACTATCATTATTTAGATTCAATAAAAAGCTTAAAAGACAGTAAGGGGCTGTGCAGATATAACCTATTATTATAATCTGGAAACTTAAATACAATAAAATATAAGGCATTATATTTCACTAACTAGTATACTATATACTCTAAGCTCTTTAATATTTATTTCAATAAAAGTCAAAGGAATCATATCAGGCTTTGGGGGGACAAATATCCCATTTTTGTCAAAGACTGCAGATAGGAAATTTCCACTCTGACATCCTGACGACTTAGAAAAACATGTCCAGTCCCCTGCTATCAAGAGAATTAACAGAGAAGGAAGAACACTGATCCCACCTAAACGATAATCTCCTGATTCCCCGCCTCCTGCAAAGGATTGTAGATAAGCAATTATTTAAATGGCTTAGCGCCTTGAAGTTTACAATGATTTTTTGCACATTACTGCAGTCTAACGTTGTTGGTAAGAAAATTAGATATCACTCTCTGATGTCATGGATGAAAACATGACTCAGAGCACTAAGTGTCTTGACAAGGACTCCAACTGCAGGGATACCTTCCAGATGACAAGCCAGAGTCTCACCACGTGAGAAGTTTCAGCCTCAGGAAATGGCAGAGCCGACACTTGGATCAAGGTCTTTTAATCAAGTCCATTGTTTAGGACAAATCAGCACCTCATTTATGATACAATGTAGCCTCGAACATTTTTCTTGAACAGGGTAGACCCCTGGAACTGTTATACCAGTTTTTATGCATCCACAGAAAACGCAGTGCTCAAGGACCAACCTGGGCCACAGCTTGCAAGGGGGTGATCAGGCTGCTGTATTTAATCTGAATGTCGGGAAGGTCTCCTTGACGGTAACTTCTGTACAAAATGACTTGGGCATCCTGCTTCATTTTGAACTCACTCTTGATCTCCTATAATCATTTGAACCAAAGAAGATTTGAAATTTGAATTGAGATTAAGAAAATCAGTAGTACATGAGCTATGAAACTGAGAGTACCCATCTTTAACATAGAGGTGAATCAGTGACAATTTGTATCCAAAATGATTTAGTCACTATCTGTTACCAGTCGATGACAGATGATAAAGCCAAAAGAAAAATCACTATGGTGAAAAGATTATTTAAATATTTACTACAAGTAATCTGAATATTTGTAAAATCCGAGAACTTGATTGAAAAACGTCTTAAAGCCATAAATCAGAGAGCTGTATTTCCTTAATTACTCTGAGAATAAACCTTAGCTATAAAGCCCAGGGTGATCACTACAGCCCCTCCTGTGATCTCCCAGGTCCTCCAGGCCCTGCTCACCCACAAAGGCCAGTTTGGGCCTTCCAATTAATCCTTAATCACCCCCAACCCCAACTCTCCCCCATGCAGGGCCGTGGGTCCCTGCTCCTCTCTTTACCTAGAATGTCTTTCTATAGCTTTTCACTCATCGTTTGGCTGTCATCTCAGACACCACCTTTTCCAAAAGGCTCCCCTCACTACTTCTCTCCCAGACACGCTCATTCCTTGGTTAACGTCCGACATCACACGTTACACGCACCTCTGTGCCACTGGCATTGAGTAGAGCCAGATATTGAGCACAGTCCTCCAACAAACAAATGACCACGGTGCATGGCTCTCCCACGCCTGACTTTTTCCATGCCGTCCTTAGTGAGTGGTTGGCCACTTCAGATTAGACACCTAGATCAGAGGCACGCATGGCCTCACACAGCAGGCCATTCTGTATTTCCTAATTACTAAAAAGACCTTTTTCTCAGGCCAAAATACCTCCCTGCGATTTACCCAACCATCTGGTTTTCTCTCTTCCTTCTGCTGTCTAGATATTGCACTTCCTGCGGGCATGCCTAGTGAGGTTTCAGGTTTCATTAGGAGCCCGGAGCTACTCCAGCTGTGATGGGGCCAGTGAGAAGGAGCATGAGATAAACTCAGGACGATGATTTTGGACCCTAGTCCTCAAAAGAATAGTTGCAGTTGCAGAGACAAGAGGAAGATGAAAAGTACCTTTACTTTCCACAGAAGATACAGTGAAACCATTCAACCACTTCATACTCAGATGTGCAAGTTAATTAAGTGATTAAGGGTTTAAGCTGAGTTAGAACAAAGATGGGATTTTTTTATTCATAATCTTAAAAATTTTATCATAATTACTGATTTATAAGATTAAAGCTATGGCTAAGAAAAACAATTTCATTATTTTCACATTTTGAGAAATGTTTACCTCTTAACTCATGCCACACTGATGCCTCAAATCACTACTTTCCGCAGAGAGCTCTGACCTGTCTGCCTAGCCCTGCCCACCCCTTCCTCGGGGCCCACCATTCCCTCCCCATCCATGCACCTCCAGGAGAGTAGCTGGCTGTAACGTGGCCTCACCCCCGAGCCCCTGGCCATAGATTAGTGGTCCCCAAAAGGCCCCCAGCCCGAGGTGGGTCAAGACTCTGGCCTTGAGGCAGAGAGTGGGGCAATCCCTCTCAGCAGCTACAGTCACAATAAGTAAAACTCAGGAGTACTTGGTGGCCATGGTTCCACCACGTAGAGAAGGTCAGTCTGTTCAGAGAACAAATCAAGCTGAAGAGGCTGAAAGAAGGGGCAGCGACGGGGCCCTCCAGGGCCTGTGAGCCAGGACACACCACAGGTTCAGGGACGACCCACACGTTTCATCCCGAGAGACCACAACTCACCAGTGAGTCATGGACGCCCTTTCATGTCCAATAGTCAGAGGAGACTTTCATTCACAAATAACTTCAAGTCCTATACTGCTGCTCCTCTGATCTTGGTTTATAGACCAATATTAGAACCAATATCTGGCAGGAAGCTTGTCTCCTTAGTACACATATGTAAAACAGGTATTTCAAACCAATCAAATTCTTGAGAAAAGATACAAACCTTCTTTCGTTTTTGCTCAGCAATACCTTTTTTCGCATAAATCAAATGGATCTTTTCTTGGTCCTTTAAAAATCGTCTCCGTAATCTTAATATATCTACCCGACTCTCTGTACCTGAAGAATAAAAAGCCGGTTGGTTATAATTGGCCACTTCAACACTTGCCTCATGCCCAGAATCTCCGAAAATAAACGTGAGGTTGTTTGCTTACCTCCATTTTTTATTTTATTTAGTTTTTCTTTTCTTTCTTTCTATCTCTCTCTTTTTTAAAACAACACAAACCTATGCAAAGAAGATGATGAACCAGTTTTGGAAGCTACAGAACAGAAAATTTAAGTAACTCAGTCCTAGTGCTGCAGTAGAACAATGATGGTGGAAAGGACTTGGAAGACTCGGCCCTGGCAGCACCAGGCCCTCCAGGGAAGGGAGGAATGTGCGGCTGAAGCAGGAGGCGTGCTGTGAAAGCACAGCCCTCGTGGTGTGGGTGTGGAGCCGGGGGAATGGACATAGAGTCTCTGAGTGAAAAGGGCCAGCCCGCTGGAAGCAGAGGAAACAGTGACCAGTAAGACACAGGAACAGCCTGAAGGTAAGACATTGGAGATTCTGCCCCTGGATAACCAACCAGCACAAAAGAGCAGACAGAGATATCGACATGTCTCAAGGGCCCGTCCAGACTGACCTTGCTGAGTGAGGACCACAGTCAGCACGCACGCCCTTTCGTAAGCTATTCCACATGCCTCTTTAGTGCCCTACTTGGGACACATTAAAAAGTAAAACATCATCGAGTATTTTGAGCAAAGCTTGAAATATGAAAGACAGAAACCAAAATAAAAAGGGATGAGCAGTTGCTGAAATCAGATCATTCAGGAAAAACTTTTCAAAAATTATCATTTATCATCAAGGTAAGAATAGACATTGCATCCATGGGTCAAAGACTTAAGGGATGTTCAGGGGACAAAAATAGCTTATGGAAATTAAAAATATGGTATCATAACATAAAAGCGAGGGTTAGATGATAGAAGAAATTTCTCAGAATATAGAGCATAAAGGACAAAACAACAAGAAGAAAATTAGAAGGATAATCCATAAGATCTGACACACAAGCAACAGGATTTCAAAAAGAGAAAACTGAGACGAGGAAATCATCAACAAAATCGCCTAAGAATATTCCAGAACTAGAATATATGAGTTAGCAGCCTGACAGGGCCCTAGAAAATTAAACTAAAATAGACCAAAGAACACTCTGTGAAATTTCCTAAAACTGGTTGAAAAGAGGAAGATCCATGAGTGTCCACAGAGAAAAGATCAAGTTCTTACAAAGGCTCAGCAAAGAGCTGACATCAGGTTTCTCAACCACAGCCCCGTGTGAACTGACGAGTTCACACTCCAAATTCTAGAGCTAAATCACCCATTAGGTGTGAGTGCTACCAAAAGCAATGTGTGGCATCAAAGTACCAACAAGAAGCATACTGCTTCTGACCCCCTTTCTCAGGAAGCTGCTTGAGGAGGCGTTGAATCAAAAGAAGGAACTACCAGCTGTGGGCAAACTACGGCCCGGGCCGGATCCGGCCTGTTTGAAATGAATAAAACTAAAAAAAAAAAAAGACCGTACCCTTTTATGTAATGATGTTTACTTTGAATTTATATTAGTTCACACAAACACTCCATCCATGCTTTTGTTCCGGCCCTCCGGTCCAGTTTAAGAACCCATTGTGGCCCTCGAGTCAAAAAGTTTGCCCACCCCTGAACTAAACCCAGGAAGGAGGATCAGGAAAGGCGAACAGACCCTCAGGCTGTGGGGGTGGTCTCTAGACAACCCCTAAGCAGAAACTCCACCCAGGCAGCTCAGAGGCTCCCGGAGAGGTTTCTTTAAGAATCTGAGACATTTATATGTTGGGATACAATAAAACTATACAACTCAGAGGAAATTTGGTGATAAATATGTAGAAATCTGAGCATCTCAAACAAAATAATTATGAATGCCCAGGAAAAATTATTGTTTGAAAAGGAATCATGGAATCACTCATGGTTCAGCCACAAATACTATTTATGTAGTCAAAATAAAAGGAAATTGAATGTCGATGAAACAAAGACTAAGACATAATTATATCAGAAGATGAAGGCACAGGAAAAATTCATCGTGTGTGGTATGGTGTGTGTGTGTGTGTGTGTGTGTGTGTGTGTGTGTGTGTGAGAGAGAGAGAGAGAGAGAGAGATACATGGGGGTGAGGGACAAGAGGGAGACAAATTCTAACATCTGTAACATGAAGTCAAAACCATGACTAATACTGAAAAAAAGAAAGGTGGCAATATAAAAAAGACTGTTTGGAGAGATGGAAGCAAATAGCAAAAACTTGACTAAAAGGGTGTAAGTGGTTGCATCTGTCACTTCTTATAACAAGCTGTGGAAAAGTATTTGACTCTTTAAACTATATGCTTGTATTACTCTGATACAAATAACTAAAGGAAACTAAAATAAAAAAATAAATAAAATGATTGAAAAGTGATATTTTAATTAGATTACAACTTCAAGTTTTTAAACTGCATTCCCTTTTAATGATAATAAACAGTAACATATAAGCACTAATTCACTGTATATTATGAACCTCCAAATGTTCCTCTTTTGGCAAAAAAAAAATACATATACTGCGAAGAAGGCAAGATATGAAATATTTGAAATTGACAAAGGCACATGGGGAGATTCAAGTATATTAATTAAATTACTATTAGCATTTATTTACCTACTCAGTTCTATGAGTTTTTTCAAACCCGTATATAAATGTCTATGGGAAATAGTTTAAAAATTAGGTTTCACCTCTTACCTTTATTATTTTATATATATGGTTCCCCAATTCTACCTATATCAGCCATGACATATTTTCACTCTAAAAATGTAGAAAGGGGGAAAACTGTGCAACAATTTGAATTGTGGACAGTAACTCCTATCATCCCCATTCAATAAAGAAACTAGTCCAGCTGGTCACCAGCAGTCACCACACATTAACTCAACTGCAGACTGTCCCAAATGCACACCAACTTTCCGCAATTCTACAGAAAGCTGCGCATGCCCATGGGCTGAAGATAAGAAATCGTAAAGGGTCAGAGAGACAAGTTACAAGCAATGGGAAGGTGATAGTCACTTTGGAAGTTCATTTTAACTTTGGGGCTTTTCACAATCAAAGTGTCAGGAAGGACAGAGAGCCATGCACTCTTGCTGGATCTTATACTGGTTTGATGGAAAAACAGAAGAGGAAAAAGACTAAATAAAAAAGGCTGGTTGGCAGTGGTCAAGTGTGAAGGAAAAGACAGAGGAATGGGTTCATTGGCCCTCTGTCAAACTCACAGTTATGAACAAAAAGAAGGCTAGATAGATTTACCTTTCTATATAAAATTTAGAGAAGGGTCCATAGCCACAAATGTGCTACATGAAAGTGTGAAAAAGAGTAGTTGGGAGTAAGGAAAGTATGTTGTGTATTTTTACGTTCCTACTATTAAATAAAAAGAAATTTAACTTTGCTAATTATACTTCTATTTATCTAAATCCATATGTTGGCATTTTCCCAGGGTTCTGTCTTGGGACCTTTTTCTCTTCATATTTTCTTCCTCTGGGTTTTCACTCACTCCCAGCGCTACAGTTCTCGTAAGGAGCTAACTTCCTGACTGACCTCTCTCAGCCCTCTCAGCGCTGGGTCTGTGAGCCCTGCCAGCATTTTCCACTGGCATCTTAGCATCACCCATGGGCTCACCCTGTCTCTCCAACCCCACCCTCTTCCTTTTTGAATCGGAGACTTAGCTTACTAATCCAGGTCAAGGTGTGGCGGCCTTTGACCTCCACCTCTCAGTCCTCCTCAGGCACTCCACATGCTGTTCCACACCAACCACCCCAAGAGGTCATTCGGAGACCCTGTGCCTATCTCTGCTTGGTTCACTACCTGAAGCTGTGTGGTTCATTCCTAAAGCCACACCCCACACTCGCAAGCCTGCTTTCTCAGCATTCTTTACTTCACTCCCAGTGTGCTGAAGCATCTGCCTGACTGGATGCTACAGTGCAGGCTGGAGTGGGCTCTCACTCAATGTTCACCGAGCTGATCTGAGTCTCTCCCACCACCCAACACATTCCCTACTTCTCCCTCTCCACCCCCATCCTCTCCCTCCCAGTATCTCGATCCCCAAGGCTAGTCCCAAAGGCCACCTCCTCCACCAGCCTTTCCTGGACTTAAATTGGAGACTGAGCTTACTAATCCTGCCTCAACTCTTGATCGCCCACCTATTGCCTCACCCAATCCTATTGTTCTGGAAAGTCACAAAATAAATCGATTGAGTTCAATTTATCCAACAGCTTTTCTGGAACACATAAAACTATAATTTCAACATGGTAAATGCCCAGGCAACATTCACTCAACTAAATTATAATGGTATTGATTACAGGTTATAAGGATATGTGAATACAATCAGAAATGTCCTTTCTTTATCTAAGCCTCTGCATTGATTCAGAGGGCAGGCCATTTTAAACACATTTCAATAATCTTACTTTACCTTTTGCTTTGTTATCCACCGTGTCCCCTGGAAGGGCCAGCCTTTTTTTCCCAAAATCAGGTCCCACTGACTTCAAGGGTGCTATCTTTAATTTCTCACTCCTCTTGTGAGCAAACAGTAAGGAGGAAGACAAGGAATCAGATGATGAAGAAACCGTATAATCCACCAGCGGGTCAATACTGCTTCCAGTCAGCCAGTTAAAGGAGCTTCTTCCATCTGCAAAAGGCACGACCAGAGCATTTCACAGCAGCTCAGAATGGCACGCCCTGTCAGCCTACCCCACCCCACTGCACCTGGCAGCTCCAACGCCACAACACGCCGGTGAGGCGATGGGGGATCGTCCTGGTGGCACCTGGGGCCTCCGCGAGCTCACCTGCGACAGGGACTGGGAACAGCCTCTCCAGGGACACAGTCATGTCACAGGAGGAGACATGGCGTGGAGGCTCCGGGAGGTCACGTGTGGACAACCCAGGGCAGCTCAGGCGGCTGAACTGTGTCCTCACTTAAGTATTGAACTTATCACCTGTTCTTTCAAGCTGCTGTGACCATTCCAGGAATGATGTTTTGTATCTACTATAAAGTACTAAGATCCGTGATTTCTAATATCAGTGTCATAAAATTTCCATTGTAATTATTCAACTTAGTCCTATTTCTAGAACCAATAGAATGTGAAAAAATTTATATAAAGGAAAAATGTTGAAATGTTTCTATGAAATAGTTTAGATATTTTACTCTAAACTTGTGCTTTGATGATCAAAAAAACCAGTTGAACTATTTAAGAAAAAAAAGTTTAATATACAATAAACATCCTATATAATAAAAGCCTAATATGCTAAGTGTCTGGTTGTCCATTCAACCAATCAAAGCGTAATATGCTAATGATATGCTAAGGCCACTCAGCTGCTTGCCATGACGTGCACTGACCACCAGGGGGCAGACAGTCGACTGGTCAACCAGTTGCTATGACTGCACTGACCACCAGGGGGCAGATGCTCCAACTGGTAGGTTAGCTTGCTGCTGGGGTCTGGCCAATCAGGACTGAGCAAGATGGGCAGGACACACCCTGGAGCCCTCCCACGGCCCTTCCCCGGCTGGCCAACCTCCTGCATCCCTCCCCAGCCCCAATCGTGCACCGGTGGAGTCCCTTGGCCTGGCCTGCGCCCTCTCGCAATCTGGGACCCCTCGGGGGATGTCGGAAAGCTGGTTTCGGCCCGAAGGTGGAACGACCGGTTGCTATGATGTGCACTAACCACCAGGGGGCAGACACTCAACTCAGGAGCTGCCCCCTGGTGGTCAGTGCACTCCCACAGGGGGAGTACTGCTCAACCAGAAGCCAGGCTCAAGCCAGGCTCACGGCTGGTGAGCGCGTGGCAGTGGCAGGAGCCTCTCTGACCTCCATGGCAGCGCTAAGGATGTCTGACTGCCAACCTGGGGAGCGGGCCTAAGCCATCAGTTGGACATCCTTCAAGGGCTCCAGGACTGCGAGAGGGGGCAGGCCGGGCTGAGGTACCCTCCACCCCCTGAGTGCACAAAATTCATGCACTGGGCCTCTAGTAGTAAATAAACTTGGTTTGCCTCTACTTTGCTTCTGAGATATGGGGTTTTAAATTTGATGCACTAAACAGATTTTTCTGGGGGAAAACAAAACAGAACATAATATACTAAAACTTTTCCTCTTTTTTCCTGTCAGAAATAATCCTTTTCCCCTTTTTAAAAATATTGTCGTAAAATATTTATAACATCAAATAGACTATTTTAACCATGTTTAAGTCTGAAGTTCTATGGCACCAAGTACATTTACCTGGTTGGGCAACCATCACACCATCCACTCTCACCACTGTCTCCATTGTTTCAAACTGAAGCGCCACACCCATTAAACACTAACTCCCCATTATCCCCACCCCAGGCCCTGGAAACCACCCTTCTACTCTCTGTCTCTAAGAACTTGACTACTCTAGGGACTTCAGTCCTTTTTTCCTTTAACGGACATCTTTTTTTGTGGTTCTCATCACTTTTTCCAATTATCTTTTCACTTCTCACAAATGGTCAGTGTTCTTACAGTAGAGGCTGTTTCCAAAGTAACAGTGCCTGGCGCACAAGAGGTAGGTGTTCAGACTGAAGGTTACCTGTGTTTTGTGTCGGTGTGAAATCATACTGCTGTTGGGTGGCCCGTATCTGCCGAGCCATAGCCCCTTGAACAGAAAGGGATCCTTCCTGCGACCAGGTCTGGAGAGCGCTCTGAGAAGTCTGAGTCTCAATGAACATAGGAGTGAGGACGGTACTTCGAAAACGCCAGTCAGAATCAATGGTGTATTCCTGCATGTAAGAGAACATCAAATACAATGATGGTCCTTCTTTAGCAACTTGGACATATTTTTATTTAAAACCCAATGGTACTATCAGCAAATATGTACTATAACTTCATATCTCTGTGGGAAGCAACTGAAGATTCTTTTCTGATCTAAAATTTTTTTAAGTAAATAATCATTTGCCAACTAGAAAAACTAATTGGTACTGGGGGAGAAAAACCATTTTTCTACTCTTTAACATTCAATGCCATACTCGATAATATCAAAACACAACTGCAACAAGATAATTGACTCAACTCCTTCCTAAATACTCACTGTGTGTCCAGCACTGGGCATGATACTAGGAATACAAGCACGAGTAGATCAGATCAGGCTCTGCTGCCCAGGAGCTTGGGCAGAGATGAAGTGAACTCTTTGTTTAATGTGTAAATCATAGTTTTTAAGGCTGCCAGGAGATGGCATAAACTCGACATGTACAGGGTGGATAGGAGGAGTGATGGAAGGGAGAGAAAGCATTATGGAGAAAGGAAAATGTAAGTGGAGACTGAAAGAATGAGAAGTGTGAGCTGTGTGCAGGCAGTGTAGACAGAGGTGAGTAGAGTAAATGTGTTTCAGAAAGGAATGTGTGAGTGTTCCAAGTTTTAAAAAAACCAACATCATTAATCATCAGGGAAATGCAAACCAAAACCACAAGATATCCCAATTGTTAGAATGGCTAGTATCAGGAAGACACACAAGAAGTCTTGGCAAAACTGTGGAGAAAAGAGAACCCTTGTGCACTGTTGGTAGTAATGTAAATTGGAGCAGCCACTATAGAAAACAGTGAGGCAATTCCTCAAAAAATTAGAAATAGATCTACCATATTACCCAGCAATCCCACTTCTGGGTATTTTTCTGAAGGAAACAAAAACACTAAGTTAAAAAAATATTGCATCCCCACATTCATTGTAGCATTATTTACAACTACAGGTCTGATGCACAAATTCATGCACGGGTGGGGTCCCTCGGCCTGGCCAGCGATCAGGACCAATCAGGGCCATCTCACCCAGTCCCAATCCGGATGATCGGGACCTGCCAGGGGGTAAAGGAGGACCATGTGAGGTTGGCTGGCCAGCCCTGCAGGAGGTTGGCTGGCTGGCCGGTTGGCTGGCAGTGGGAGGTTGGCTGTGGGACTGTACTGACCACCAGGGGGCAGCTCCTGCAATGAGCCTCTATCCCCTGGTGGTCAGTACATGTCATAGCGACCAGTCAACTGGTTGTTCGGTCGTTTGGTCGCTTAGGCTTTTATATATAGAGATAGCTAAGACATGGAAGCAACCTAAGTGTCCACTGATAAAGCACATATGGTGTATATATGTACAATGGAATATTATTCACCCATAAAAAGAAAATCTTGCCATTTGTAACAACATGGATGAACCTTAAGGACATTATGCTAAATGTAGGAAGTCAGACAGAGGAAGACACATGTGATCACTTAGATGATGGAATCTAAACAAAAAAAAACCCCAACAAAACAAAACAAAAAAATTGAACTGATAAAGAGAGCAGATTGGAGGTTGCCAGGTGGGGGTGAAGGATGGGCAAAATGGGTCAAGGGGGTCAAAAGGCACAAATTCCAGTTATAAAATAAATAAGTCTGAAAAGTAGTGTACAACATTGTTACGATCAATATATATAAAAGCCTAAGCAACCGTTACGACAGAACGACCGGAATGACCGCTTGACTGGTCGCTATGACGTGCACTGACCACCAGGGGGCAGGTGTTCGATACAGGAGCTGCCCCCTGGTGGTCAGTGTGCTCCCACAGCCAACCTCCCACAGTCCCTCCCCGTCTCTCCCCACTGCCGGCAGGCCCCGATCAACCCAGCCCCAATTGGGACTGGGCATGACGGCCCCGATCAGCCCTGATCGCCGGCCAGTCCTAAGAACTCTACCCATGCACGAATTCATGCACCAGGCCTCTAGTAGTTTTATGTACTGTATCAATTTGAGAGTTGCTAAGAGAGTAGATCTTAAAAGGTCTCAAGAAAAAAATTTGTATTGTGATGGATGTTAACTAGACTTAGTATGATCATTTTGCAATATATACTAATATCAAATCATTATGTTGTATGCCTAAAACTAATATGTTACATGCCAATTATCTATATAAATAAAGCCCTAATATGCAAATAGACCGAACGGCAGAACAACCGAACAACTGAACAAGAGGTTGCTATGATGTATGCTGACCACCAGGAGGCATGTGCAAAACATGGCAGGTATCGGCCACAGCTGGATGGTGGAGCAGGTGAGCTAGGACCCCAGACAAAAGCAGGGCGCCGGTTGCTGTCATTGGGGTGAGCCTCTGGTGGTTACTGAAAATTCTTTGCTCCCATGTGCTGTGGTCCCACCCCAATCGCTCGGCACCATCAGCAGGTGCAAGTGGTGGCTACCAGCCCCAATGGCCCCTCAGGGCTTCTCCACCTCCCCATTCCTGAGGGGCGATTGGGGCCAGCAGCCACCGCCCGCACCCGCTGCCGGCGACAGCCCTGCTCGCACATCCGCGAGTGGCAGTGGCGTCAGGAGCGGGGGTGCCAGCAGAGAGGGGACCAGAAGCCACGGCGGGAGGGGCCGGGCGGGGCATGGAGGATGGGCTGAGACCTGCCCCTGTGCCCACTGCAGCCTTGCAGCCCACAGTTCCTTTCAAGGTGCACAAATTCGTGCAGTGGGCCACTAGTATCTCCATTAAAAAGAAAGCCAAGTTAACACTATTAGAAACATTGTTGTCTAACAGACAAGGAAAGCTTATAATATTTATTATTACAGAGACAAGCACTTCACCTGAAATTTGCATTCTGACAGAGGATGCTCAAACATAGGGTTTAGATAATCTGGACTCATGCTGGTCATTTCAAGGAGAAAATCTGTTGCTAAACTTAAAAAGTGCATTTCTATCTTAGGAGTATATAAAGAATTTAGTGCCAATAACCGGTCCAAGGTATTTGAAGGTAATCTAGTTTCATGGCTCCAGAAATTACGAATAATTAACCTGAAAAGCAGAGAAGAAAAAAAGGCATATTGCTCAGATTATTGGCAAATGAAAAGGAATGCTCTACACATAGTGCTATGTGGAGAAGGCACAGTTTTTCATTTAAATAAAGCTTAACATAGAGGGAAACCACATTCAAAATTATATAAACAGTATAATCTGAGTTAAAAAAATAATATGCATTAAAGAAAGAAAATATTCTAAAACTTTAGCATATTTAACCAAAGAAACTGGGTGATATTATTCTCATCTCTATAACCTGGGAAGATTTTAATGATAAGTATTATAATATTAACTATTTTGAAACTGAGAAAACATCTTAAGAAATTACATAAAATTCTTTACTGCTTTGCTAAAACAAATGGCTCCAAAAATTAGTGCCATAAAATATTCAACATTTAAACTAGTTAAACACAAGTTTAGGCTTTATAATTTATAAATGTTTACAAAATACAAATACAATTTTTAAAGGCTCAATGAACTTAAATTGCATCAGAATAGAAAATTAACTGATATATAGAATCATAAAAAAAGTTTATGTTCCTTTTTATATAACTAGTACTTGACAAAACACTCATATAACTGACATAGGTAGGCATTTTAGAGAAGAATAATCATCACTCATATTGCCATGTATAATTAATATTATAGTCTCCTCTTATCTCTAAGGTCTCAAACATTTCATTCGATATTAATATGCATTGTGTGATCACAATGATTGGAGTTAAATGGAAAACATAGTAATTGTCACTAGATTTCCCTTTCATTTTGAAATTCACTGACAGCAGAGACAGCTTTACCACACCACTTTTTCAAGAATTTTATATTAAAATAACTTGTTGGGATTTTTTAAAGTCTCATGTGATTTAAAATACATTTTTATTTAACATTATGAATGCAAGAGGCAGAGAAAATGCTAATGCTGCAAACAAAAAATGCTGAAAACTACACTATGCTAGTCTTGAAAAAAATACCCAGGAATTTTTTTGTCCTCGCCCAATTATTCAGGAGGAGCACATACTGAAGCCCGTGGTTCTCATCGATTAATCCCTGAATCAATACATCTTTTGCCAACTTAAATATTTCCCGGGAGTCATCATCTGCTTGGCTTTCTGGATCTCTGAGAAAAATAGCAAAATGACAAAACATTAATACTCTCTTGTATCACTTTTGTTCAAACCCAGTAACACTGTCCAGAATTAAAGTAAAAAAAAAAGACCTGGCTTTTTCCGTGAAACTTAAATTCCAAAATAACAGCAGAACCTATCCCCATGCCTATGTGCCCCAACTTCCTCCTTTGATGCCTCTGTGAGCCCCTTCAAGTGGCTCCCCTCTCTCAAGTGCAGGAGAGGAGGGGTTGGTGGCAGGAGCAGGGCTCCGGAGGGCTCCCTGGGATGCTAAGAGGTGGCCCAAGTCCCCTGGGAAGGGATGTGTGGTACTCCTGAAGGATGAAGACATCTCAGTAGAGTTCATTTCCTTTATCTTGTCAGATCTGAAAGGGATAACTATGAAAACAAATTACACTTTTACCCCCCAAAAAAGAGAAAGAGCTCATGGACATGGACGACAGTGTGGTGACCGGGTGGGGAGGGCCTGAGGGGGTAGAGGTAGAAGAGGGTATATGGAAGATAAATGATGATGGAAAAAAATAATAAAAAAGGAAAACAAATTACACTTTTAACTCAACCAACAATTTCATGCACCAAATATTTCCCACAGATACATAATATGAGTTAAAATAAGAATACATTTCGCCCTCATTGGTTTGGCTCAGTGGCTAGAGCGTCGACCTGCGGACTGAAGGGTCCCAGGTTCGATTCCAGTCAAGGGCATGTACCTTGGTTGCGGGCACATCCCCAGTAGGGGCTGTGCAGGAGGCAGCTGATCGATGTTTCTCTCATCGATGGTTCTAACTCTCTATCCCTCTCCCTTCCTCTCTGTAAAAAATCAATAAAATATATATATTTAAAAAAAAAAAAAAAAAGAATACATTTCAATATACAAAAATAAACTTGTTTTATTAATCGTATGTTTAAAATGTTTTTATATTTATTATAATCTGTTCCAGATTACTAAAGGCACCCAAATTCTCCCTTAAGAAATGTCATACAAAATGTCAATGTAGAGCTTACCGATAATTGTCATGAATCCACATAAGAATATTATACATTTGTTCCCTACACACCGGAGAAGGATGAGAAATGAATTCTACAACAGGATTCAGAAGTTCTCGAAGTTCTACTGGCTTCAATTTTGCCATCATCTTATAAATTATGTCTAAACACACTTTTTGTCTTTCATCATCTCTATAAAAAGAGAGATTTTTAAAAACACAAATTTAATAGTTTTTAATATTGTACTTTCAGATATAACAGGTTAACTTTTTTGTGCTGTTCTGTATTTCAAAATTTGTTACAATAGACAATACTACACTTATATAAAAATTACATTATTTTTTAAATAAAATGTTTATTTTCTTAAATCCAATGCATTCAGTGTTAACACTTTAAATGTTTATCTTTTCCACCAACTGCAGCATTATCTAAGTAAACCAAAATAAACACTTTATCATAGACAGGTAGTTTAATTATTTATTTCAGTTCTAGATGATTTTAAAAAATAGTGTGTAGAAATGATTCTTCTTACTTAAATGCATTATGTTATCAACCCACCAAATCAAAATCAAAAGCATTTGCCAAGCTGAATAAGTTACAAAGAAATAATAACTCTGGCTTGTACAGAAATGTACAGTGTTTTCAAAGCTCTGAACAGTTACCTACTAATACAAATCTCCACAGCTTAACGTAGAGTTGGAAGATGAGTTTCACAGTAACGTAATTTTAACCTTCATATACATTCATTTTAATATATTACTAAGATGTGTACTCTATATCACAATGGTGCTTTCCAGTGTTCACAACTTAGTTTCAATTTACCCAAGTCATTCACTAACATAAGGGACAGTTATTAATGCTACAAACTATCCCTAAAAAAACAAAACCCCACCTTACATAGAACTCTGAAAATTATATGACTTAAAACAGGTTAATTCAACATGATTCTTAATATTTTAGCCATCTTCTAAACACCAGCATGTAAACTTGCCTACTTAATATGAGAGCTACAACTTGATTCACTGAGATATTATATAATAATTTTCTTTAACTATCTTTCTCACCTTAACTCAAAGATCTCCTGACTTGCTGGCTCTGTTTCTGTGAATTCCAAACTGCATTTTTTAATTTTATTTTAATTTTTTGGAGAAAGGGAAGGAAGGCAGGTTATGATAAATACACTGTAAACAGAAAAAGCTGCCCCCAAATTAAGCCTTTAAAAATTATTTTTACTTCTACACTATTATACACTTTACGAGTCAATTACAATGCTTCATCTTTAACACTAACACTAATAAATTACAGTCTGCTCTACCATTCTGGGATCTAAACTTCTAAATACATGAGCAGAAGAGTAAAATACCTCACTTTCAGTTCAGAAATTTAGAATAGTTATATGATTTGACTAGACTGGTCAAGGTGGTTAGAAACACAATTATGTAAGTAGTTGGTTAATTTGCTTCTGGGGGGTGGTAGTCAAAGAACAGAGAGTAGCGAATGAAGTAACACAAAAAAATTATTTCCTATTTGGGGAGAAAGGGGAATTCACAGGCCAGTTTAAACCTCTGAAGGCCTTTTGACCGACCTACTCAGATCTAAGACAGATCTTTCCATTATCTGAATAACCCCCATTCTTCCCATGAGTATCAAACTGATTGGTAGTCACAGCTCCAAGTACAATCAAAAGTTTGTTGAATGAAATATTAGTAAGATAAAAAGGAGACTACATATCAAACTGGAAAAATAATCGACTCAAGTACATATTACACTTAGTTTTCAAATCATTTACTAACAACACAACAGATTTGTACACACACACACCAAAACAGGCAACCCAGCCACTGATCTGCTTTGCAACACAAGGCCATAAAGGCAGAAATGGCATTCTCTAAGGCAAACTTTAAATCGATTTAAAAAAGTAATTTCTGCCCTAACTGGTTTGGCTCAGTGGATAGAGCGTCGGCCTGCGGACTGAAAGGTCCCAGGTTTGATTCTGGTCAAGGGCATGTACCTTGGCTGCAGGCACATCCCCAGTAGGAGGTGTGCAGGAGGCAGCTGATCGATGTTTCTCTCTCATCGATATTTCTAACTCTCTATCCCTCTCCCTTCCTCTCTGTAAAAAATCAATAAAATACTTAAAAAAAAATTTCTCGCACTCCCTCATCTCCTATACTGAAGGATGTGTAATATGTTTTTTCCCCAAGCTAAATCTGAACCCTCAAAATTGATTCCAGGTAGATCTTTGAAATTAAAAGAAAAAAGAAAAATAGAAAAATTATATTTTTATATATGTACACATCCTATATAATAAAAGGGTAATAAGCAAATTGACCATTAGCAGAACGACCAGTCACTATAATGCGCCCTGACCACCAGGGGTCAGATGTTCAACACAGGAGCTGCCCCCTGGTGGTTACTGCACTCCTACAGGGGGAGCACCACTCAGCCAGAAGCCGGCTGACAGCTGGCGAGCACAGCGGGCTAAGGATGTCCAACTGCCAGCCTAGGCCGGCTCCCCATGGGAAGAGGGCCTAAGCCATCAGTTGGACATCCCCCAAGGGCTCCTGGACCGCAAAAGGGCACAGGCCGGGCTGAGGGACACCCCCCCCCCCGTGCCCGCAGTGCATGAATGCTGTGCACCAGGCCTCTAGTGTGTGATTATACACACACACACACACACACACACACACACACACACACTGATTGGAATCCTCCAGCATTTTAAAATCACTTTAGAGATGAATTTTGGGATTCTACTGCTCACAACTCCAAAATCTGTAATGATTTAAAGATATACTTCCTCTCTTTTTTCCTTCCTGGTCACTCTCCCCCCTCCATAACAGTTCAATATAGCCACGGCTCAAGTTTAATGGGAAGAGAGAGAAGTTTTTGAGTAGTTTTTGTTTGTTTGTTTTACTTTGGTGATCTGGATGGCACATATTGCTCTTTGCCATTACATTGAGTCACTCCCTGAGGTATAGCCCTGTGGCCAAACTGGCATCTCTGTTCCCTGATTTTTCCAGCTGCTCCCCTGGGAATGGTATTGCCTCGGAAGCCAGAATAATCCTTACTAGCCCTTGCTTCTGGCTTCTCATGTGGTTTCTCAATGGACTTCTCCGGAGCTCCGTTCTCTTCATTTTTGGTGGGAGACGCTACATTGGAGCGAAGCTCTCGTAGCGGCTGCACAGGAATTGGACATGGCTCTTTAGGAGGCTTCTGGCACACTTCAGCATCACTTGGCTTTCGGTGTTCCTGCAGGGCCACGGTTACAGCTACATTTATGTTACTATCACATGGTGAAGCAGTATTTGTCCTTGATGGCTTTGCAGCATTTGGGGAAGAAACTGATATAGTTGTTGGGTTGAGAACATCCTTCTGAACAGTGGAATCCTCCGCCAGATCCTTTTCTATCTGAGTTGTACTCAATGCAGGAGGCTCAGCTGTGCGTGAAGGACCGGTACTTGTAGTGAGTAGCTGGGCAGCGGTACAGTCGGTCTGTTCATCCTCTGCAGGCACTGGGCAACTACCCCCTTGTCTTAACTCTTATCCTTTTCTTTGCAGACACCTTTAACATCAGACATCCTACTCTCCAAAACAAGTTCACCTGGTGTTCTTGATGAACTTCCAGGTAAAGGAGGAAAATTTGAGGCTAATAAGTCAAACTTTGGTGTTGGTGCCTTTGCTTCAGCTGTCAAGGTTGGGGTCTTGGGATTCTGTCGTCTTCTTGTCATCTGAAGAGAGTTCTCCTACCCCTACCATAATCCCCACTGTGTTCAGTCTGCAAAGTTGGAGTCTCTTTTGGAAGGTAGCTTTGCTCCTGATGCCCTGGCGCTGTAGGGTTACGCTGTTCAGTTGAAAAGTTCGTTGAACCAGATCTGTTTACTGGTCCATCCCCCAGTGACACAGATCTCTCTGTTGCGTGTTCTGAACCACTTGATGACCTAAAATGAGGCTTCACACAATTTTTTTGGAATGGTCGACCCATATTCACAGCAGCAGCAGTTGTTTTATAAAATACTGGAGAATTAAAGCCATTCATAAAACTACTATTTGGAAAGGGAGCCAGTGGTGTTTCAAAGTAAGGTGCAGGATTTGGAGACCAGACTGAGGCACAATACTATAGATGAAGTACTGTTGGTGAGGACTATATGCAGGCTGCATAAAGACTGGTGAGGCACACTGTGCTTGAGTTTGAATAGGCTGACTATACATACTAGAATCCATTAATCGATAAACATTCTTAGCAAAAAACGTATTGATGGTGTTTATCCTTGCCATGATTGGCTTGCCCTGGAATGTTTTAACTTCTTCTCTCAAATACTTAAAAGCCTGTTGAGCACCTATGTCTCACTGGAAAGTGATATACCAATTGCTATTGTGTGCAAACTCACAGCTTATCACCTTGGGGCAGTTTTCATTCTTGAACAAAACTTTCACTTCCTCTATTGGTGTTGTTTCAGGAATCTCTCTAAGAATCAGTTACGATGCTTATGAGTTGGTCTCACTTTCTCACCCTTCTCATCCACTTGTACCATGGGAGAAGATCTCCGTACTTCAAGAATTAGATTGGGTGCCGAAGCCGGTTTGGCTCAGTGGATGGAGCGTCGGCCTGCGGACTGAGGGGTCCCGGGTTCGATTCCGGTCAGGGGCATGTGCCTGGGTTGTGGGCACATCCCCGGTGGGAGATGTGCAGGAGGCAGCTGATCGATGTTTCTAACTCTCTATCTCTCTCCCTTCCTCTCTGTAGGAAATCAATAAAATATATTTAAAAAAAAAACTTTAAAAAAAAAAAATAAAAAAATAAAATAAAAAAAGAATTAGATTGGGGTCTGGGGTTGGTTTTTTATTTCTTCCATGTTGGCAACTGTCCAAATTGGAATGAATTGATCACTGTCTATTTGAAATATCTGGTAAAGATCCTTTGACAAACTTTCTTGTGAGAAACAGAATTCTAATTGTTTCTTCAGGCATTCTTGTAGGTCTTCTGTAGAAATTGCTGAATTGCTTTGTCTGGAAACGTCATATATTTGGTAACTTAGATCTTCATATTCCTTACACATATCGTCTGAAAGCTCTGTATTACCCTCAGGATGAGACCCTGATGTGGCTGCTGTTTCATGCCAAGAGCTTTCAGTTCCATGAGTTACTGGTGTGGCATCAGTATTTCCATGAGGAAGTTCTTGCCACACTCTGGCATTAGGATTTAAACCAGTTCTTTTATGTTACCTGCTCCAAAGCCATGGCTCAAAGTGTCTTCCCTATCTGGAAAGCCTTCATTAATCAACCAACCTTCTCTCTCCATAAGGTTTTCCCAAAGACTGTGCTCCCCACAGATCTCGTCTTCATGTCTCTTGTTAGCATTCGAATATTCTAAAAATTACATTCTTAAAAATAATTACTGGTATCATGGACTAGATTATTAAAAATAAATTAATTCAATGTGGAATCTTGGACTAGATCCTGGAATAGAAAAATTAGTGGAATCCAAATAAAGTCTAGTTTAGTTACTAGTAATGTGCTAATGTTCATTTCTTAGTTTTCACAAATGTACCACAATTATGTAAGATGGAAAAATTGAGTAAAGGGTATATGGGAACTATGTGTACTATCTTTTAACTTTTCTGTAAATATAAGGTTATTCCTAAATTAAAAGTTCATTAAAAAAACAAACATGAAAAAGTCAAGCAAAATAAGCTAAGTATAAAAAATTTCATGATTTGAAAAATTGATTTCAAGTGTTAGATCACCTGCCATGTCATACAGCAGGATTAAGTGTAGTCTGGGTCCCAGATAAGGTGTATCATTTCCTCCTTAAAGTGCTTTACACACAAAGGCACTCAGCAAATGTTTAATGATAGTAGAACACAATGATACACTCTTTCTTGCTGGCACAGCACACATTTATCAATAATTTATCACCATGCAAAGATAGGAACACACACAAGACAGGAAAAGAGTACAGGCAAATAAGAATATGTTAAGTCACCAACAGCATTCTCTTTTAACATTTACAGGGAGATTACAATTTTGAAAATAAATGAACAATTTTAACAAACAAATTTTAAAAAAACCTCTTACCTGGCAAAATAGGCACAAAACTCAACGCCATGCATTTCACATCGGAAAAGAGCCTGAGACAGTGCCTCAGTGTGGCCTCCACACGGTGCCAGTGAGAGGAGGCAGGATGACCAGGCCCCACCAACCTTTCTTCTCAGATTCAAATGTAACAATAATGCTTCATGGAAACTACAAGCTCTTTCTGAGCTGAAGGAAATAGCTGGACAAAACATTTTATGAGCCTGCTGCACCAGGAACAGGAGGCTGGTTTCCCACTCACCTGTGTCTCATGACTTGAATGAAATCCTTGCTCTTCAACTGCAAGTACAGATCTGTTATTGCCTCTGAACGACACAGCACCACTTCTAGACAGAGAGTCTTCATCACACCATGAAATTTTGGCAGCAGGAAGAACACGGTGTTCATGAACCTAACCAGTGGACATGGCCAGTGAGTGGCAGGGCAGTCTCAACCATCCCCGCCATAGGACATTCACCACTTCAGCATCTTACCTATCGGCCAGTGGAGGGAAGTTTTTCACAGCTTTGTTCAAGCACACGATAAATTTGTCCTCCATTGTATTCTGATGCTGCTTCAGCTGCTTTACAATCAGTTCACACACAGACTCCTCCAGTATCTGAAAAATCAAGTCTCTTTTCCAATACACACAAGTGGAAACTTATGCTACATTTCTGAAAATAGTTTTATCTTGAATAGTTGAGAGTCGGTGTTATCATCTCCAGTGTTCACCAGGTGAAACCAAGAGCACTCGTGGGCTTACACTGACCACTGAGTACCAGCAGAGGCTCTGGAGCCGTGAGTTTGGGTGAGCCAGGCTGCGTCCCCGCGCTTGTGCTGCAAGCACTGGCAGGGTCAGCTCATGTCATATGTCAGATCAATAAAAAAGATCAGTGCTGCCCTAGACAGTTTAGCTCACTGGATAGAGTGTTGGCCTGTGGACTGAAGGGTCTCGGGTTTGATTCCAGTCAAGGCACATGCACAGGTTGCAGGCTCGATCCCCAGTAGGGGGCGTGCAGGAGGCAGCCGATCAATAATTCTCTCTCATCATTGATGTTTCTATCTCTCTCTCCCTCCCCCTTCCTCTCTGAAATCATTAAAAATAAATTAAACAAATAAAAAAGAAAAAGTCAAAAAAAAAAAGAACTGGGCAAAGTAATTGAAAAGACTTTAAAAAAAAGATTAGTGCTTCTTCTGACAATGAAACACTGCCAACAAGTCATTTAAGAAGCAGAACTAAAATTCTTGATTAAATAAGTTTAAGACACATTTTATGGTCATGTTTTCATGTTTCTGGCCGAATATTCACACAAACCACAATTTTTAAGCAACTCTATCTCAACTATCACTGTCTATCTCCCTATAGCTTGCTTTCTCATGATCACTACTACCTACTATGATAGATTCGTCTGTGAATTATCTGTCTCCCCTCACCACATGCCAGCTCCCTGCCCTGTCCTGTTCCCAGCTGCATAAAAGAGCCTAGAGCCAACCAGTAAGTACCTAACATACAGAGGTGGGCAAAAGTAGGTTTTCAGTTCTGAGTATGCGAAACTCAGTTTATTCTTGTATTTTTATTTATTAATTTTTGTATTATTTATTTGTATTACAACTGTAAACCTACTTTTGCCCATTCCCATATATAAGTGACCAACATGTAAGTGCCAAAGTTATAAAACAATGTGAACCTAACAATATGGGTGAAACAGTAGAAGACAAGATTGGAGTCTACATCTCAGGTGCCAAGAGTAGCTTAGTGGTTAGAATATGAGTGATTCTTACTTTTTTTTCTTTTCTTACTTACTTCTTTATATTATACTAGTTCCCAAATTTCTACACAAAAATCAATGTCATTTTATATTTAGGAAAAAAACTATGTAAAACAAAAGTATTTCTCATTCCTATTATTTGAAATATAAGTCAAGAGTGATTGAACCTGGGATCTGCTATCATTTGCTCCATCCGAGGTAAATATTAAGCATTTTGTATAAACTGCTACCAAACATTTAGGGACATTAGAATCATATCTTAAGGTTATTCTGAATTTTTAAAATTGTTTCTTTTACTAAAATAGCTGGGTATCCTTAAATAAATAAGTTTGATCTTCCCAAAGGGGTCTATTTCCTTTTAGCTTAATGTTATTTTATTTTAAATGAAAGTGAATGCCTAATTGGTAAATGGGCAGGGGGCCCAATCTGCTATTTGGGGATACCCTGGGTATCTGGAGGACCTCCTGACTTTCCCAGAGGTTCTTCTCGTCCTGACTGACAAAGCATGTAGCCCAGACTCCACTTGACCTTTTCTTTCAGGAGAGGGGATGGACTAGAGATACAAATTTGGGAATCATGAACATAGAGGCAGTTTTTAAAGCCACGAGGCTGTATAATCAGCAGGGAAGCAGTAAAACAGAAGAAGACCAAAATCAGAGCTGTGGAGGTGGCCCAGGAAACACGCAGCTAAGAAAGGGAGAAGAAGCTGCCAAGGAAGGAGCGAGACAGCCAAGAGTGTCCCAGAACCAGTGACAAAGGGGAGTCAAGGAGGATCAACTGTGCTGCCGTGGACAGGCTGAAACAGAGCGGCCTGGTATGAGCATCTTATCACAATGAGGGACACTGCTTTTGGAGGCTCCGAGAACAGGCAGCACCTCACTCTATTAGCATGTAGGAGGAGAGCAATGTAGCAGTAAGCACTATTTTCAAGTAAGTTATAGCATGTAATTTTCATGCAGTTATACTTATATGTCTTTAATAATTATATTTATTGAAAATTATAGTACCCTGAATGTGTGCTATGCTTAAAAATGCAACAAGGCTCTTCTTACAATACAGTCAAGTGGGCAGGCACATAAGACTGGGAAAGGCTCTCGAGGAAGCGCTTTCTCCTGCGCAACGGTTGTATGATGTCAAAAAACGTAGGCGAGGATTTTATTAGCTTAATAGCCTAACGTTAGCAGGTATCTACCTGGATAATTTTCTCCAAAAGGATATCCTGAGACCAAGGTCGAGGAATGAAAGCTGGTTAAATACTCATATCCTGACTTTTACAATAAAGAGTAAGTTGCCAATCTTTAAATATTTAACAAATTTCCAAGTGTTTTAAAAAAAATCACATGTTCTCTTTAAAAAAACTGAGTTTTTTAAAGTAGGAAAGAATAAAATATTAACAAATGCAGAATGCCCACTTTGGTTTCTTACAGTACAGAGGATATAAGTATCAAGTGTCATGACAAATCAAAATTAAAAAAGCATTTATTTAAAATTGCATAACACACTCACATTTTCTCTCTCAGTAATATATTGAAGAACAAGTCCCAGAACTTCTGCTGCTGCTGCATACACCTCTTTATATTTTACAAAGGACATATTATTGACCAAAGCTTGAAAGTATCTGTAACAAATATAGAAGATAAATATACATAAAATAATCCATTCTGATGACATAAAATTATAATGATTTTACTCTTTGTACCATATTAATAGCACAAATTGAGAAACTATGAAGCCTACAACATGATCCAAATTATTGATGTGAAGACATATATGAAGACGTCTTTGAGGCTCTGACATCATCACATCCGGGAGGCACATTAAAGTTGGTTCAATTACACTGAACCTGCTATAGTCAAAGTAAAACAATGCTGGAGAGGGGAGCTGACTCCAGCTGAAGAGGAGCAGGCGGAATGAGGGCCCTGCGGGTTCCCAGGCACTGATTTACTCCTTTAGCTCAACTGCCGGAACCCAGTGGCTGAGAAATAGAAACTTCCAGGCAGACAATGACCTCCTGGCACCTTCAGGGAGGCACTGTCTACAGCATGAATTGCTTGGCTGGGCTTCCGAGACTAAGAAGCCTGCAGGATCTGAGGGACTTGAATAAGCATCAATAAATGTGCTGGCTTCTTGGGGAACCCCTCCCCAAAAAACCCCATAATGCTGGACACTGTAAAACTATAGTGAAAAAAAACTATTATTTAAGATTGTGATTTACTGACATCCTGTTAAAACCATCTACTATGACAGAGAAGGTCAATAAAATAATGAGAAAAAGAGTGAGTGTGAATACAGTGCCCCCAGACTTCACGGGCAAAGGGGCTTTTAATTTTCAGCCCAACCTTGGCTCTGTAAAGTTGTCACTGGAGAAAACCAAAGCTCAAAAAAAAACAACACTACTAACTTGTCTAAAATAAGCTATTTCCTGTTAAATCTGTGTTGAGCAACATATTTGTAGAGGACCAACTAGACAGAGTGAGACACTTCCAAAGAAATGACAAAAGCAGGAAAGGCAGCTCAGCTGATGTAGTTCAGAAGTTGAACCAAGAGGTCACTGGTTCGATTCCCTGTCAGGGCACATATTCTCTTTGAAAAAACTGAGTTTTTTTAAGTAGGAAAGTTTACTTTATTTTACTATATTAACAAATGCAGAATGCCCACTTTGGTTTCTTACAATACAGAGGATATAAGTATCAAGTGTCATGACAAATCAAATTGAAAAAGCATTTATGTTTTTCAACATAAACAGGTTGCAGGCTCAATCCTGGGTAAGGGGTGTGCAGGAGGCATCAGATGATTGTTTCTCTCTCATCAATGTTTCTATCTCTCTAGCCCTCTCCCTTCCTCTCTCTAAAATCAATGAAGACATATTTAAAAAAAAAAAAGCATGGAAGGGACATGCTGAAATCTATAATGTAATCATGATATGAGCACTGACTTTAAGCCCCTCCACTGCATATGTTGGGCAATGCCCACGCCCACCATGGAGGGTCCCGATGGGAGGGGAGCAGTGTGGCTGCAACTATGCCAAAAGGCACAGAGACAGGGCAGGCAGCACGAGGTCAGCAGTACCCTTCATGGTCATCCTCTTATTTTTAATGGTTCACAGAGCTCATGTTGCTCTCAAGGGTAAATGCTAAAAATGTCACTTTAGAAAATAAGAGAAAAAAAACTTAATACCTCTTATTTGACAAAATGTACATGAAAATTACATGAGTTTTAAAAAACTTACCTTCCTCATTTACTCCATTAACACATTCTTCTCTCAAATGACCTCTAAAGGCAACTATTTAAATTAAGGGAGAAATATTTAACATGCGTTCTAGCCCTTAAACTTATCAAAATTAAACCAGTCTATTTCCAATTCAGGAATACTTTAACCTAAAAAAAAAATGAAAGCAAAACTATGATACTTACTTTATACTCTCTATGCCACATTTTGGGTCATAGGGAGGGAAGTTATTGGCCATTACAATGCCTAATAATTGAATTCCTACTGAATTGTCTTTAGAATTAGGATCTTTCCTGGAAAACTTTTCGAATATTAACCTGAAACAGAAGTATAAAAGTATAGATTATCATATAAATAAGAAGGAAGACAAGTATAAAATTTTCTAAGGAGAATACTCAAGGTAAGAAATACTCCCCCCACACCCCCACATCTAACACCCTTCTTGCTAATACCCTCTTTGTTCACATCCAGGTTATTCTAGCTTTGGAATACAGGCAGTTTTATATCGTCCTATAATTGCTTGCCCTTTTGAAAGTGTTAGCTTACTTCAGGCAGTGCTAAAAGGAATCAAAGCAAAGTCCTAGTCTACCCTGGGCTGTTACAGGGAAGAGCAGAGTGCTCTAGTGTCAACTTTGGGAGTTGTGGTTTTGTGAGTAGCAATATCATATCCTTATACATGGATCCTAATTCAAATTACAGTTCTCCTTCTATCACTTCAAGTAATTAAATTTCAGCATAATCACTATTTGAAACATCCTACATTTTTTAAATTTCTAAACAACATTGCAAAATCTAGTAAATTAATACCTGTAAGGGATGGATAAACAATCCTTCCAGCATTCAACAAGAGTTTTTATAATTTCAAGGTTGTGACTAAACACGGCTCTTTTTTGATGAAAAACATGCTTCATTAGGAAATTAAGCAATCGATTGGCTAACACTTCATCTTTGGGAACCCCCTGAAATGGTATAAAAATTATATATGAATATGTAGCATTCCTTTCTGAAAAAGCATTTTTTAATCCAAAAATCCGTTTATAAAAGAAATGTGGCATTCTACTGGCTCCTAGTTAAAAACCTATGTGTGATTTTTCAGGTCCAACCACAGCAATTACAAAGGCTTTCCCAGATAGGCCTCCAGGGGGAGAGCTGCCAGCCCTGCACCAGGCTTGTAGCACAGCATGTAGACTGTAGTCTCAAAGGGCAGCTGCAGTCAGACCCTGAGGCCCATGTCTGCTCATGCTCTTTCACATATGTGCATTCCTGGCCCAGGGGCCTTCTCTCCTAGTCTCTATCTCCTGTAAACGCCTCAGCTGGAACCTCCTTCTGGAGGGAGGAAGGGAAAACTTGAAGACACTCTGACTCAGCACTCTGTGCTTTCCAACTCCTAGTCCTTCTCCCTCACTTTCCTCCCAACTCCCGGGCCCTACAAAACCTCAAAAGGGAAATGACCTCCAGATCAGTAGTGAGCCCCTGACCCTTGACCAATATGCTGGCTCCAGGGAGTAAAATGGAACAAGAGAGTCGGGGCTTCCTCTAGTTTCAGCCTTTTGCATATACTATTGCAATGAGGTTTTTTAATAAAAGGCTTCACTGTAACTTTCAATTTGGCTCCCTGTTGATTTTATCAGTATTCTGACACCTACACAATTCAGCTCTTTCAAGATTAGCTGAGCTCCTAATAGTTAAATCAATCTTTTCCAATGGTTTAAGTTAAAATAAATACTCACTTAATTTTTTCGTGTTAGTAAGTAGACTATAAGTTATTTCATCGTATTAAAGATAGGAAATCTAAAATTTAGTTTACTTTGAAATGAGAGAGGCACATCTAAATACATGTATAAGCTCTATATACATTATTATATTTAATAAGTGTTGTTTCCAGGATATCCTTACATGAAAACTCTTATACATTATTAGTGCCAATGTTTTCAAATGAATGGGCAGAGCTCCAGCACCCACAAATCTGGTGAACGCCACAGGCTGCAGTATAAAACTGCCATTCATCTCACAGTCACTTGTTGAGCAATCTCAGCCATTATAGGTCACAGTCAACACTCTGGAAGCAGATAGACTGGCAAAACAAGTGCCAAAAAATTCAGGGACTTTCGTCACAGAAGAAGTCTACTGACATTTATTTCTCATACTTTTAATAAACCAATGATCTAGTTTCCAAACTCCTTGCAGGTAAAAGCAACACAAAAAACAAACATCTGATAGCTTAAAAATAAAAGATCAGGGGAATATCAGAAGTAGACAAAAGAAAGAGAACGAAAGCAGGGTGAGGCCATTTAGTATAGCAGTACAAAAATTAATGCTAAAAATGATGACTCTAAGTCATTAAGGGGAGCTTGAATTACTTATTATATGCTCTATTTAAGATATCAACAAAGAACTGATATATTACTACTAGTACATAAAAGATGTATCCATTCTTACTAGAGGAGTAGCTATTCCTGTCCATGAAAGAACTGTAACCACTATTTCAACCACCATATAGTGAATTCCTTCTCCTCCGTTATTTTCAGAAACAACCAGCTGCAGCAAGGGGCTGAGCCAGTACTTCGCATAAGGGCGAAAGACCTAAAAGAGAATTTAAAAGCCATATATCAAAGGATTGTTTTCAATAACCAAAATATTAATCCAGAAACATATACTCCATCAGTTAAAATTATATATTATGACTTGACTTAAATCCAAAACAGATGTAAATTCCAACAATTACCCTGCTTAATAGGTCAGATTCTCTGCTGAATTCTCTCATCACACCCCAAAACCACAATTCAATGGAAGTCAATTTGCTATTGATGTCTTCTTTGCTTCAAACCTTTCTGATATAACTATGCTGAGATAAATCAAAATGAACGTATTCTGTGTCAACCTTGTCGTATCTGAATAATATTCAGCTCTAGAGAATTATAATTTTATTTTATGCCAATGCATAGGGTATATGGAAAATGAGACTATGCAAATTAGTTACATGTGTATGGCTATTTTTTCCCCATTTCATCCTATATTATGGAAGACTTCATATACTCAAGACTCAAATCTAAATAAAATGTATCTCTATACTAAATTCTATTTATTTTAGAAATTGCAAGAGAATGCTATTTGGATGCAAAATAACAGATTAAAGTATGATTCAAGCTATCTATCTTGACCTTTGCCACCTTCTTTTTTTTAAAAGTGTTTTCTTGCCCTAGCCGGCTTGGCTCAGTGGATAGAGCGTCAGCCTGTGGACTGAAGGGTCCCAGGTTCGATTCCGGCCAAGGGCACATGTCCGGGTTGCAGGCTCGATCCCCAGTAGGGGGTGTGGAGGAGGCAGCCAATCAATGATTCTCTCTCATCATTGATGTTTCTATCTCTCTCTCCTTCTCCCTTCCTCTCTGAAATCAATAAAGAAATATATTAAAATATATATATATATATATATATATATATATATATATATATATTTAAAGGGTTTCTCAAAAATTCCTCACCTACTCTCACAGCTTAAATCTATGCAGTCTCAAGTCTTTTTTATTTATGCACCCCCATTTATACAAAAAGTTTGAACACTTTCTATGTATGCCTACTGGTTTATTTGTAAATTATAAATACAAACTTCTTCACTCTATTATTAAAATATAACTAATAGCTAAATTTCAAGGTTGAAATTTTTTAAAATGTAAATACAAGTTCTAATCTTTCTTCCATAAGACAATAGACTGTCTTGAACATCTCCTGAAAACCACTGCCCAGATAATTCCTGAACTTCAGATTCATATGACACTCTGGGAAATCTCCCAGTGATATCTCAGAGGTACCTCATATCCACACGTGTGAACAAATTTAGCAGGTTTGCTCGTCAAACCATGCACCCACACCCAGCCTCCCAAGAAATCATTCAAAACACCAGTTCCTTGTTTGCTAGACATCAAGTCAGCACTTACAGGAATGGGAGCTAGAAATCGTGTGACCTGAGTGTGATGGGGTTGAACTCAGTCCCCAAAAAGAATGTTGCAGTCCTAATTCCCAGCACCTCTAAGTGTGGCCTTACTTAGAAATAGGATCGTTGAAGATTATCCAATGTCAGTGTCCTTACTGAAAGGGTAAATGGGTACACAGGAGACAGACACAGAGAGGGGACAATTTGAAAACCCACAGAGAACACCGTCTACATACTGAGAAATACCGGGGGCCACCGTACGCTGGGAGAGACCCCTGAAACAGTTTGTTTTTCACAACTTTCAGAAAGAACCAACCCAGTAACTCTGAACTGCTTCATGGAAAGGAAGAAAAAGTCAACCAAGGAAGTCATCAACTAAAAAAGAAAATATAGAACATCCTACCACCTCAACAACTGATTCTGATTCATCTGTACCAGTTAAAGTACTAGAAATAGACAGCTGTGGTTCAGCTGAATACCTGCAACAGTCTCTTGATGTGTCCCAAACGTTATTTGGAAAATCTTAGCAACCTGAGTCAAAAATGGAACCTGAATTTGTAAAAGAAAAAGGTACTGTTTACTCAAATGAGGAGAAAGATAATTTAAAAGAACCAGTAATAACTGAAGAGGAAGAATTAACAGTTCAGAATATACCTGGTTTTGACAACATAAAAGAAACCAATATACAGGATGGTAGTGTGCCGATTATTAAATATTAAAGATCATGCGACTCAGTGTGCATTCAGTTTTCAGAATTCTTTGCTGTATGACTTGGATTAAGTCTCTATAACTTCAGAATTTAAAGGTTAAGAGCAGAACATTTTTGGACTTAAATTCTATTTCTGTAAACTACTACCTTAAAACCAAAGATATTCAAGAAAGTATATTTTGGATTTAAAATAGGTTTTCCATTTACTCTCTAAAAACTATTCAAGAAATTAAAATTTGCAATTTTGATTCTAATGGGGAAACTGGAGATATCTTTTTGCATGTAGAGTTTATACAGCTTCCTTAATTAGGGAGATAAGTTTTGTGATTCCTCTGAGAGATTTCGTCCTGAGAGTTAAACATTTAGTTTTAATATAACCTGTATATACTTACTTCTGTGTTGTTTTTGGCTTATTTTGTTTATCATTACACTTTAATAAAGTTTCAAGATACTCACTAAGTTATGTCTGTCACAAAAAGAACTCTCAAGAATCTAACTAGAAATATGAGTTGCATTTGTAAGGGGGACAAAATCTCAAAACTGTTTAGAAATATCACTAAATAAGGTGTATTTTTGCTTGAAATAGAGATTCTAAAAGATGAAAGAACTTTACTAAGCAATATTAATAATTCAAATAATTATAATATAAATACACTGAATGAAATTTAGTATTTTTGCTTCAACTCTGTTTTACTGTTCTCATCTATCATAAAAAATATATATATATTTAAAACAGGTTATTTAGTAATGACTTTAAGAAGGCAGCAGGTAATGAATCTGGCTAAGTTATTAATTTTGTGGAATAGTATTTGTATCTGAGGTCAGAAGAAAATCCTAATAGATTTTTTCTCACAAAAATGTTTAGGACAGCATGAAAGGAAATATAGAAAGGAAAATATCTGCTGACCTAATCTCTGACCCCAAAGGCCATGAGCTGATGCATCTGTTCCAAAAGCAGCTACCAATTTAAACTTCTGGCCTTAACTTAGACCTGGAAATTACCTAATATCTTTAGTCCTTTGAACTGAGGAGCTCAGATCAGAGCACCAAAAGCTGGTACTCTTTACATTTATAATCCTGATGAAGTCTGGAAGAGACTGGGCTGAGGACAGTATAAAGGTAGCTAGATCACAAAACAAGAGAACTATTTGCCCCAACTTAGATGACCAGGTGCATTTTTCAATTCTAACATGAATCTTGATTTGAGGCAGTAATTTTGAAAATGTCCACTTAATATACAATTTTCGTAGATTGAAATGACTAACTGTAATAGCTACACAGAAATTAGTCTATAATTTTGGGTTGAATGGAATTGTATACTGTTAAGGGAAACTTGTACATTAAACATGGAGTAAATTTTAAGCCTGTTTCCTATTATTTACTACATCTGTCCTATTAAAAAGTATGATTTCAGTTAAAATAAAGCTGGCCCTGGAACATGAAATATCTTATTATAAAAAAAGAAAAAAGAATCAGCCCTACCAACACTCTGATCGTGAACTCTGGCTTCAGTTTCTGTTGTTTAAGCCATCGTTTTGTGGTACCTGTTGTGGCAGCCGCAGGAGCTAGGAATTAAGCACGACCCTGAGGAACAGGCTCTGCGCAGCCTCAGGTCAGCCTTCTCAACCACCTCCCCAGAGCCCCGTGGCCCTCACATCTGCAGTGCCGACTAGAAGGACTTTCTGTGGGGCCAAGTGGACCAAGTCAGCCTACTTAGCACCCTTCAGTGGCTCCCTACCGCTCAACGAATGAGCGAGGTCCTTGCATGGACCCGAAGGCCTGGCTCAGCTTGCCTGCCGCTCAGACGTGTAACCATGCCACCCATACTGTCTGTCCCATGTGCCCCTGGTCTGTGCGTCAGAGCAGGCATGCTTGGCTCTCTCAGGGGCTATCTCTGCTCATACTGCTGCTTCTAAGCAGAATGCAAACTCCCACTGCTACTTTACAACACGTAACTCAAGGACTCTCTTAAAAATCCAACCTAACTCCACTGGTGGAAGATGCTCCTCCCTAACACAGTGCTACCCGCAGACCAAATGACAAATTCAGCAACTATCTAAGAGACTCAGTTGTTTTTCACATAGAGTTAACAGGAGTAATTTTACCACCTTCTTTGCTACTACAACAAAGAAGGCTGGCAGCCATCAGAAAGTTGTCCACACACATACTTATAAAAAGATCACTTCTATCTCAATAGAAGTTAACTTACATGTTTAAAAAGAAAATGATAAAAGAATGATGTTGAGCAAAGAAATAAATATGGTTGGTTAATTTATTCAGAGAACATCTTTCTTTGTTAAGGGATTTTTAAAAATTTTTGTTTTTTAAAATGTTTTTTATTTATTTTTAGAGAGAGAGGAAGGGAAAGGGAGCAATAGAAACATCAATGAGAGAGAAACATACATTGGCAGCCTCCGCACACCCGCTACTGGGGACTAGGAGTGGAGCCTAGAACTTGGGTATGTGCCTGACGGGGATTTAAACCAGGGACCTCTTGGTACATGGGTCAATGCTCAACCACTGAGCCACACCGGCTGGGCTGGTATGGGCTTTTTATTTTTATTATTTTATTTATA